AAAAAAAAAAAAAGCAGTTTTTTTTTTTTTTTTTTTTGGTGCTAACACTTGTTGATGTTGATGTGGAAGTGCTGATGCTAAATGACGTTGAGGCACTTGTTGACTTACTTAAACTCAATGAAGTCGATCTTGAAATCGATTTCGAGGTTGAAGTTGATATACTTGTAGATACTGAAGTTGAAGTACTTGTGCTGGCACTTGATATTGTCGTGGACACTGACGTTGTTGGAGTGCTCACACTAGTTGAGGTCGACGTAGACACACTAGTGCTAATTGACGTCGAAGTGCTCGTGCTAGCACTGGAATATGTCGAGAACACTGTTGTTGGTATATTACTGACACTTGTTGATGTTGACTTGGTTGTCACTGGTACTAACCGATGTTGAGGTACTTGTTGACTTACTCGAACTCCAGTGAAGTCGATGGTGTAGACACTGTCGAAGTACTTGTGCTGGCACTTGAGAATGTCGTAGAAACCGATGTTTTCGGTGTACTCACACTAGTTGACGATGAGGTAGACCTGGTGGATATTGATGATGAGGAACTTGTGCTGGCACTTGAATATGTCGAGAATATTGTTGTTATTAGTGTACTGACACTTGTAGATGTTGACGTGGAGGTGCTTGTGCTAACAGAAGAAATACTAGCTGGTGTTGAGGCAGAGGTTGAGGTTGATTTCGACTTACTTGTTGACGTTGAGGTAGACACACTGGTAGACACTGATGTGGAATAACTCTTGCTGCCACTGGAATATATCTCGGAAGCGGATGTAGTGGGTGTGCTTAAACTTGTGGAGGTCGAAGTGGACTACCTGGTGCTAATTGACGTCCAAGTGCTCGTGCTAGCCCTGGAATATGTCAAGAACACTGTGGTTGTTGGAGTACTGACACTTGTTGATGTTGACTTGGTTGTACTGGTACTAGCCGATGTTGAGGGACTTGTTGACTTACTCGAACTCAGTGAAGTCGATGGTGAAACAGATGTAGAGGTGGATGTAGACACTCGTAGACACTGATGTCGAAGTACTTGTGCTGGCACATGAAAATGTCTTAGAAACCGATGTTGTCGGTGTACTCACACTAGTTGACGTTGAGGTAGACACACTGGTGGATATTGATGATGAGGTACTTGTGCTGGCACTTGGATATGTCGAGAATATTGTTGTTGTTGGTGTACTGACAATTGTAGATGTTGACGTGGAGGTGCTTGTGCTAACAGAAGTTGAAATACTAGTTGATGTTGAGGCAGAGGTTTAGGTTGATTTTGACTTACTTGTTGACATTGAGGTAGACACACTGGTGGACACTGAAGTGGAATAACTCTTGCTGCCACTGGAATATGTCGTGGAAGCGGATGTAGTGGGTGTGCTTAAACTTGTTGAGGTTGAAGTGGTGCTAATTGACGTTGAGGTGCTAGTGCTGGCACTGGAATATGTCGAGAACACTGTGTTTGTTGGAGTACTGACACTTGTTGATGTTGACTTGGTTGTGCTGGTGCTAATTGACGTTGATACACTTGTTGACCAACTCAAACTCAATGACGTCGACGTTGATACAGACTTTGAGGTTGAAATAGACACACTTGTCCACACTGAAGTTGAGATACTTGTGCTTGCACTTGAAAGAGTTTTGGAAACTGACGTTGTTGGAGTGCTCACACTAGTTGAGGTTGAAGTAGACACACTAGTGGATACGGATGTTCAGGTACTTGTGCTTGCACTGGAATATGTCTTTGAAACTGATGTCGTTGGAGTGCTCACAGTTGCTGAGGTCGAAGTGGACACACTTGTGGAAGCTGATGTTGAGGTGCTTGTACCGACACTTGTTGACTTACTAGAACTTTTAGAGGTTGATACACTGTTAAGAAAGCATGCAAAGTACAGAAATCTTAACGAGAAGACCTACCATTTATTGCATCGTTAAATTTAATTTCTATCATATTAAACACTAAATGTATTCTACTTCAACATCAAATCAATGCCTTGAACTTCCATCTGATTTTTCAGAACTCCATTAATTCCTGATTCACGTCAGCCACTACGTTTATTTCTAGGAACAATGCATGGTTGATAAATAAAGGAAACAAGACATCTGTTGTAGATAGTTCTTAGTTTCGCATATTCAGTACGATTTTATCGTTTTAGATTAAAAATTTCGAGCGTGAGAAACCATATCTACCATATGTGGTTCGGATTGAATGAGTGAGGGGCTGTGAGGAGTGAAGTGATTTTACGAGTGAAGGGCTGGATTTCTTTTTGGTGCTTTCGGCATTCACGTTTGCTTTTTTGGAAAATGTACCTATTTGGATACAGTAAGGTATGAAGCATCGCAAAATTTAGGTTGTAAACCACAAAGCAACCAAGAGCTGTTGTTTAAGGTTAAGTGATTCAGGAAGCTGAAGGATACAAATTAAGATTCAAGAATCTGTCTGGTAAAGATAACTGTATTCAATACTTCCCCACCACTTCCTTTCCTTAGTCCCATTCCTTTGGCTTACAATAAAACTCCTTCCCCTCCCCTCCTCAACCATCCTCCCAACAGCTAGCCAAGTATCGTAAGATCCCCTCTTCCATCTCTAACTGCACTCCATGCGTGAAGGTTGAAGTGGATGGGTTCATGCTCCCTCACCATCCCTAACTATACCCTGACCAACCTTCACAATGACAAAAAATACATTAGCGAATTTGACATTCTTACCTCCACATATAAATGTTATCATGGATCTAATGTTTGTCTCATAACAAAAAAGATTGTTACCTCTGTGGAGATGGCTATAAAAAGATGCCATTTTTGTTTTTTATTTTTCTTTTGCCCGGATTTAACAAAGCGGTTTTTAGTTAAAGTCAGAATATGGACGCGGAACGTAAACTGAAAAATTAATTTTCGTGTCGGAAATCAATTAACAGGGCCCGTTATTGTTTGCCTCTTTCAGACCTCCTCATTGTCTGCTATTTTCCGTGTCTAATATTATTTCCCGTGTCTAATATTATTTCCCATGTCTGTATTTACTTAATGGATTTCGACTTATCGCCGAGCCCAACATTATTAATCGAGGCCTATAATAACCTACATCACTAATCGAGTGTCTGATCGAGTTTGATTAATTCCTCAATTCCGAGTCATATTATCCAGGGTTGACTCTGTCCTAGACCTCCCACGGTACACCGTTGGCTAGGGGTAGTTGTTCACTTAGTTTACAAAAACGATATGCGCCACTTCTTCGCAAGTATTGAAGCAAGCTCTGATTTGGAGGTAGGGTTATGACTGATTTGGAGGTTATGACTGTTGAGGTAGGGTTATTAAATCTCTACTCGTAGTATGCACATAGAATTTAGCCACTAGTTATGTTATACCTTTGTGTAGCAAACTCTTGAACTTTGTGTACCTGGCACACGCGGTTACACAAGCTGATAATTGAAAGCCGAAATACATTAAATGTACGAATATATTGTATGCTTGTACACTAGTTTTAAACCAGAAAAATTTTCGTATTTTTCACAAATCTAGCCTTCCACGGCTCAATGAACGTCAAACTAAATATTATGCATTTGCTGTTGCTCAGTAAATGCGTAATTTGACAGCACTATTTCAAGCACGGTCCACGACAATGCTACATTTCGGTCATCATTATCTGTTTCCATCAGTGACCCCTTAAAACCCCAAAGTGCGACTGGCTTCTCCTTTCTCCTACGGTATCACCCTTGGATCAAATGTAAAGGTCAAGACAATAGTGGAAATTAACTCCAATTTAAGAGGCTCCTGATTGTCAAACAAATTCTCCTTGTCTGTACTATAAGAAATGGGATCCAATGGGATGCAAAGAAGACAGGGTACAGAATATGACTGACAATGTAAGAGTGTAAAGGGTTAACCACTTGACCAGCTCAAACTAAGCAAGGGATCAGTAACCACTCAACTTCAATGTATAAAGCCCATCTTTTATTTTAAAACAGCAAGGTTAATGACATGTTATGGGCTCTCTTTCTTTTGTATTAATGGTTGTGTATTTAAAGCAAAAAGTTGTCTTGCAAACAGAGTACAATTCAGCGGACATCAGGTAAAAATCTTAAATAAAAAGAACGACATTAAACATCATCAGTGAAAAAATCTTAATTTACACCTGTTGCTTTGAAATCAAACTAAACAAATTATACAATGACATTCAGTATTTTAGAGAGGTGATGATAAATTAATTCCCTACGAGTGAGATATAAAAACAATGCATTAACCCTTTAACTCCTGGAAGTGATTAACACAAAACTTCTCCCCCACAATATCCATACATTATTCAACAAACAGATAATGTGAATATTCAATCTTGTCAGGTAGAAGCTGCTATCTTGATCTAGCAGCAAGTTCTCATAACTAATTAGCAAGGAAATGAGTAGCAGCCAGAGGGGAGAATTAACTATCAGATCTTGGGATTTAAAGGGTTAAGACTCTTGATTTCAGTTCATTAAATGTTGTAGCCAAAATGTGAGGGAGCAAGTCGCAGTACGACTCGTTCTCTCACATTTGTGTTGTATAACTAGCTAAGGTCCATAAAAAGTTTCCTTTTTTCAAGTTTACTTTAGAGAAAAATAGCTAAAAAATGTTTTAATGGAAATACATATATATAGATGGTCACTTGCAATAAAACCTAAGATAGATTTTCCTACTTATTAGTTTTACTTTTCTTTTTTTCTTTAGCTCTTAGCCTTCTCATTTGACGTCTACTTATTTTGTTCATTTCAATGTCATCTTCTTTGGCTTTCATTTTTTTTGCATTTAAGTTTGACTTGTTGTTGTCTTCTGGTTTTCTCTTTCTTTTCCTCTTTATGTCATCTGTGTCTTTTGATTTCCCTTTTGTTGCCTTTTTGTCCAGTTCTTTTATTCTCTTCTTCATCTTCTTAACTTTCTTTCCAATGCTCTTGTTACTATCATCTACAAAATTGAATTTTTGAAGTATTGTTAAACTAATATGTAATGTTATTTACTTGTATTTCTTCAATCAAGTCCTGGCTATTGACCACACTATTTTTGTGGTCACCCTGATTATAGAAGTTTGAAAAACTGATGACCAAAACTTCCAAATGATGAGGACATTCTTTAATGTATACCAAAGTCAAATAATATTCCAATATTGGGAAAAAATCTTAATATTTTCTGTGTACATCTACTTGTAACTATCCAATTATAATTGTGGAGCTCATCTATTTTTCACTCTTTTTAAACAAGATGAAAAATGGGTCATTAACACCATTTTAGTGTACAATTTTATTAATTTAATTTAGTATACAAACTTTCCTGGTTACTTTACTTTCAGTAGTAATAGTGTTGTTTGCATTACTCTAAAGCATTCAAGCTAGATACGAGGTGAAAAGCACTTGCAAGGCTAGAACAAAAACCAATCAAAACATACCTCTGGTCTCAATGGTGGAATTAAGATCTTTGTCAGTTTGTAAAGGGCCAGTTCCTTTGAATGACACCTGGAAGGAAATAGGAGAAGAGTGGAAGCATCCCTGGCTCAAAGAATCATTGATTACAGAAATAGATTATCTTCATTTGTCTTTCTCTAGGAGAATTTAACGTCCAAGTTTTGTCTAACAAATGGGAAGTTAAGACTTCTCAGCATTCCTTTCAGTTCCTTAATTCTATTTTAATATTAAAATAAAATATCTTTGAAATGATACAATACTACAACTGATAAGGATACTTAAGTGAGAAAAACACCCCTTTATTCCTAATTCAATGAAACAAGTGTAAATCAGGACTAACAGTGACAATGGCAGAGCCCCTACCAAGGAAAACACCTTGCAACCCTGAAATAGAAGTCGCAAGCTCCAGAGTACAAATACACCTTTCACTACCAAATCTTGGAACTGCAGGTGAGACCTTGCTCTTGTCACACTACCGCACAGGAACACACCTTCAGCCTCTATAGTAGAAGTTGCAAGTTCCAGAGTACAAAAGCACCTTCTGCTGCCAAATCTAGCAATAGAACTCCAGGTGAGACCTTGCAAAGGAACACACCTTTTGCCTCTATAGTAGAAGTTGCAAGCTCCAGAGTACTTAAGCACCTTCCACCGCCAAATCTGCTAATAGAGCTTGAGGTGAGACCTCTCCCTACTTGTACCGACACAGAGGAATACACCTTCCGTCTCTATAGTAGAAGTTGCAAGCTCCAGAGTACTTGAGCACCTTCCGCCACAAAATCTACCTATAGAACTACAGGTGAGTCCTCGCCCAGGGCTGCGGAGGAACACACCCTTTGCCTCTATAGTAGAAGTTGCAAGCTCCAGAGTACAAAAGCACCTTCTGCCGCCAAATCTAGTAATAGAACTCCAAGTGAGACCTCGCACTAGTTGCGGTGCCACAGAGGAAATACCTTCCTATAGTAGAATTTGTAAGCGAGTACTTGAGCACCTATAGTAGAATTTGTAAACACACCTATTGCTAATGAGTACTTACAAAAGCAGCCACCAAATTAGTTATTCAACGTTAGCTGCCAAATCACAGAGGAATACACCTTCCGTCTCTATTGAACTCCAGGTGAGACCTTGTAGAGGAACACACCTATTGCCTCTATAGTAGAAGTTGCAAGCTCCAGAGTACAAAAGCACCTTCCGTTGCTAAATCCAGTCATAGAGCTCCAGGTGAAACCTCGCAGAGGAACATGCCTTCTGCCTCTATAGTAGAAATAGCAAGCTCCAGAGTACTTGAGCACCTTCCACTGCTAAATCTAGTAATAGAACACCAGGTGAACCCCTGCCCTAGTTGTGCCGTTACAGACAAATACACCTTCGGCCTCTATAGTAGAAGTTGCAAGCTCCAGAGTACAAAAGCACCTTCTGCTGTCAAATCTAGCAATAGAGCTCTAGGTGAGACCTTGCAAAGGAACACACCATCCACCTCTATAGTACAGGTTGCAAGTTCCAGGTACAAAAGCACCTTCCAACACTAAATCTAGCTGTAAGATTTTCTGAAATACATTGAGTTGAGGAATTTCAGGTGTGTTTTTCTCTAGTTGCAAAAGTACGTAAAGGGACAGATGTCAATGCCCTCCCTATTTCCTTTTCAGTTATCTATAAATGTGTGCATGTGAACCTATAATTAAAGCAATGCTCGCAAAATTGCTCTTGGATTTGGCATTGACAGAAAACACTGTAGATGTTCTCAACAGTAAATTAAAATTTAATCACCAAATGCATTAAAAGACTAACCAGGTAAACTTTGAAAACTGTGTGAAGGGGGAAAAAATGACCAGACGAAAAGAAAGATGCACTTAAAAAAGTTAAAAACATAGAAAACTGGGGCATTTAAAATAACTAAACGTGCTAAATTTCTCCAATCCACTTAATCTTAAATGCAAAATCTTTACGTTCAATCTCATACTTAAACATTTTTATACACTTTCTGAAAAAATCCCTTGTGTTTTCTGTCATTTAAGCAAGGACAGGGTCTTTTTTTATCATCACAGGTGTTCAGGAAATTCATTACTAACTGTAGATGCTTTAATATAACATGAATGTTCACTATAACCTTTTAAAATATCAAGGGATGTACATTATAGGCATTAAAAGGATCTTATAAAGTAAAAGTAATCTATTATTAGTATTTATAATAATGATGTTCAATTACATTATCTTGATGAGAACATATGGAATTAGTGACTAACAATATAACCAAGATAATGGTCATCAAATTAATCAGGCTTGTGTGTGTAAGCATCTGTAGCCAAGCAGCTGCTGGCAAATCTAACCCTAGCTAAGGTTTCCTATATCACCTAATCCAACATTTAACCAGACAAAAAAAAACTGGAATAAGTCTGGCTAAAATTACACAGACAGAAAGAATTGCAATCTGCAGGCAACAGATGATACACACATATAGAGGTGTTCTGGTACATGTTATGATAAATGTGGCCATGTGGACGAAGCAGTATGAAAAGTCAGGAGAGATGAAATAGAGTGTTAAAAAGCCTCAACTTGTAAGTACAACATGTGTACTTACTTTTTCTGGGGACTCTGACATGAGTTTTTCCATTTCCTGTTCAGACTGGAAGTAAAGAAAAAAACTTCAACTCAGTTCTAGTCTGACTGGCAAAGAATGTTCAAACATGTAGTTCATTTTAGAGTGTTGCCCAACATACAGTGATTGATGAAAACTGAATATTGCTCACAAGATAACAAAGTTCTCTGAATGGCATTATCAAATAATCTGCAGTTTTTGATTGCAAAAAAAGAAACATGGGGTTTGAACCTAATTCAAGGGTTAAAAATACCACACACCAATACTTGAATTGGTTAATCTGATTTAATAGCAATACCTTTTCTACTAGCCGCAGCACCTCTCCAGGAGGTTTAATAGCCTCTGTTGAAATACTGTCCTGTTTTCCTGTGTCTCCAGGAAAAAGAACAATGGCTGCATCTGGCTACTCCCAAGCCAGTCATACACCTCCTACAAGTAGTTAATAAAAAATTGCATAATATGAGCTACATGAGGGGATGTGCAGCAGCACTTTTTAAAAGCAAATCTCCTTTCTCATGTTGTGGTGCTATAACTCTTATAATTTCTTAAAATATCAAAACATTTGGATTATTGTGTACATTATTTTAAAGCTGTATTTGCTTTCAAGGTTATCATGCATACTTACTTGATAGCAACCTCCTCTGTGAAACGTTCTTTTGAACAAACCACTGGGCGTGTAAACTTTAATCTTTACACCATCTTTTGGTCCTTTTCTCATCCGATTTTCTCGCAAATTGCGTATTTCTTCGGCCTGTGTCAGAAACATATTTGTTTTCCATTCATTAAATCTTAAGAGCTACTTGTATCTTGAAAAAGACAACATAATGATAGAAAATGTATACCTTTGAAATATTTTATCTATTTCTTCTTATATTATTATGTTTTTCCAGATCTTATTGAGCATGTTTGCTGGCTGTGAGAGTTGAAATGTATGTATAACCCCATTTAAGTAAGCTGCAAAAGGGTTTGCATTATTTGAAAGAGCATTTTAAAACAACACAAATACAGTCTTAATTATTTCAGATATGAAGCACTTACCATATCATTTTCGGGGAGGCTTAATTCTCTGTCTTTTCTTTCTGTAGGTTGAAATGTTGGCCTTGCTGCACCTTGTTGTTGGTTCCTCTGTTGTTAAGTAAGAACATTTTTAATTAAGATGTAGCTGATACCAAATTTAAGTCTCTAACTTTAAGTGTTATTGACAGAAATATTTGTTTGCAGCTGGTTCTAAAAAGAAATCAATTTTTTCATCATTTGGAAGAATGCAAATGTGTTCATTGATACGCTGGGATTTGTATCATTTTATTTTAATGAATTTCCTCAAATGATTTGTAATGGTTGATGCAATCAAATTCTAAATTACCATTCAATCCTTTTTCCCTTCTTGCTAACTAGTTTGGTGCATATAATTATCAAAAAACATTTAACCTGTTGCCCACTAGCCAATCAATCTATAACTTGCATGTATGAAAATAAAGGCTGTATCAACCACTGTGATAATGAAGGTAAAGGCAGAGGAAGGCTAAAGAAATCTCCTTGTTTTAAGGTAAAAATTTGTTGAAATAACCATACTTTAGAAGCATCTGCTTCCTGAGCTGCATGGGACACCTCATCTTGTTCTCTCTGCAAAGCTCGTGATTCCAAAATCTTCCTCCTAGCAGTAATCAAATATGTTTAGAGACAATTGACACATTATAGGGTAAAACAAGATAATCTTAAATAAATGCAAATTGGACACTGTAAAGAGTTTCTACGCTTGCCTTTTGAGTGTTAGCCCTTCATCAGAGTGACAGGTATAGTTGATTTCAGGACTTAACAGTTTTTTTCTGCGATGCAAGCTTGGTTTAATTTATTTGATTACAACTTGATCCAAGTTATGGCCATTTTTGGGCAAAATGAACATTTCTTTCAGCCTGACAATTATGCAAGCCTGGGCTATTAAAATATGTCCAGTAAGTTGCTCAGTACTGTTGACAACAATTTTTTGAGCACTATTTTGATTACATGAGGTCTTTAATCAATTTTTTCCATGTATCAGACAAAATTTTACCATATTGTAATATCATGGTGCACATAAAATTAAAGCTTTGTCCAACAAGAAAGGGACTCCAGAAAGATCTATTACCAGTTGGCATGTGCAATTTCCATGGCTTCTGCTGCCCTTTGCACCGCCTCACTTATTTGGGAAAAGTCAAAAAAGCTCCCTGTAAAAATAACAAAAAAAAGTTAATTATAATAGCTTTAGCTTTGATTTTCTTGTTTTGTATGCACTATGAGGAAATACCCATACTTTTGCATCAAGAGAGTTCCTACAGTAACCTTCAAATTTTCAGTTAATGGCTGAGGCTTTTCCAGAATAGAAGTTATCTTAGAGTAAAGCAAAACTCAATTGAATTTTTTACCTGCATATCTCCATGAGTTTGGCCACCGAGTGCCTGCATGGTGTAACACAAAATAATCTGAGGTACCTCCAAGGTTTGGCGACCGAAAAGCCTGCATGGCTAGAAACAGAAAAAAAAATTTCATTTAATTTCCTGCCCTTGGTAAATACTCTAGCCTTCCCAGGCTCAACTACACTATTCTCTATTCTAGTGTTAACAACTGGGTTGAAATAATTAGCCACCGTTTGGTGTTTGGTTACTGCATTCGTTGAATAAGTTGTGGGTTGTGCCCTAATAAATGCCCCCTGTAGAATAAAAAGCTACCCATTGGTGGGCCTATGGTGAATGTCAAAAAGTCAGGAATAAATTAGTTGAATGAAAAGCGCTCGTTGATTCCGTGGGGATTAGCAGGGATACAGATTTGAAATATAAATTTTTGTTCTGTTTTTATGGCCAATTTATTTAAGAAAGGCCGCAAACTGCTGTTTAGAATGAATAAGTAAAGATTAAAGTGTCTAGCGACTGGCTTGGACGTCACTTGTCATTTATTTCCACATCATGTGCTTAATCGGAGTCGTCTTTTCTGTCCATTATCTGTTCTTTTCATTTTTGTCCTATTTCCCTGCCCTTGGTAAATACTCTAGCCTTCCCAGGCTCAACTATACTATTCTCTATTCTACAAAGACCTGTAATTTCATTGATTATAAAGTTATTGGGATGCATTTGAAGAAAACAGTTGATAAATAATGACAGCTCAGTTAATACTGACTTAACATCTACATAAATAACAGTATAGCATTTTATTTTCTGTTTAAGATTTAGTTGAAATAAAGATACAGTTTGTTGAAAGGAAAACTTATCTCAATTAAGCACCTTCCTTCAAATAAGCACCTCCCCTTTTAGCTGATAATTTTAAATAAGCGCCCAGGCACTTGTTCAGGGAAATACTGTAGTTCATTAGTGGCCCTATATCATGTATGTACCTTCTTTTCCATCCATGGAATCAATGCAAGATATCCAGAAGAGGCAATCCTCGGGAAAATCTCCATTTATGACGGCATTATTCAGGTCACTGTATAACCAAAAAATAAGAAATTTGAAATGCTTAAGGAATACATAGAGTGGGAGATGTGGTAACTGAACAGTATGTATGGGTATGGATACATATGTAGAAAATAGAGATATTGAAAAACATTCCCGATACTTATTAAAATGATAATCATAGCTACCTCAACATGTCTCTCTCTGCAGAAGAGAGAGTGTGTGAAGCCTTTAAAATCACAATCACCGCCATCTGAAGGCCTCTTTTAATGTGATAACAAAGCTAAAAGGAGAAAGAATATCTCATTGTGTAAAGCATACCTGCTTGAAAAAAGTCAGGAAAAGGCTGACCCTCTGTGGCAGTACAGACTGGGTACAGCAAGGTCCATACAAAAACAACTAAGGGACAATATTCCTCAGTATGGCTTGAGCTAGTGATGTTAGTAAGTAGATTAGTATATGGTTCTTGGAAAATATATGTTTACTTTGAATTTTTGCGGTTTTCGAGAAAAAGAAAATAATACAGCACAGCTTATGTCTGTTTCCGTGGAAACTCTCCACCAGAAAAAATACCAACCAAGCAAGAACCAATCAGTACCCTTGGAGTTACATCAAGACTACCACACCACATAGTAATATATGATTACAATGAATCCAAACTTCTAGCATACTGCATATTTTGAAAACACCTTTATACCCTGACTGAATTTTGAACGGTATGTTACGCCATACTAACTGCTGTCATTTTTTTGTTTCTGGTGATGTTACATTCAATGATGTATTCAGAGATTTTTCTAATATGGCATCCAGAGATCCTGACAGGCTTAAATGCAATTTTGATGCAAGTGGACCAAGTAGACAGACACAACTGTGATAACAAAATCAATTTGTTCCACCTTCAATTGAAAACAAATATTTGAGGTCACTTCACATCAAAATGTTTCATTGCTCAAAAATAAGCACACAAATTCTCATTTCACTAAAGAAACCAATTTGAATATTCACTCTAGATTTAATCATACCACAAACACAAAAGGAGTACAATTATATATCCAATTTATGTTTAGTTTTGTAGTAATTTGCACTAATCAGGAATTAATGTTTCACACTGACAATATTACTACCTGTCATGTAATGAAAGAAAACTGAACAGTACAAATTAGCATATTTTTTATTCATTAGGAATGTAAAATTTTCCCCATGATAATAACAGCATCGTTTAGAGGAGAGAATGGAATCTCGCACTGAAAAATTTGAGGAAAGAAAACATATTAGTAAATCATTCATTTAAAAAAAAGGAATGAAATTTGTAAATAAAATTTCCCCTATGACAACTGAATGGAAGGAAGGACATCAATGTTTAATGAAGAGTTGACTGTATGAATACTATGGTCAATGCTCAGTTATGAAAAATTGTACAGACTAACTAGTATTGAATCATTATTTAGTTGATTTTGACCAGATTTAGTGGTTTCCTCCATTAGATTGATGTTGATTTAAAAAATAAAAAACAAACTGATCTCTGCCTTTTTGTTTGAAGTCCCATCAGCTAATTTTTGTTTACCTTTTTACACCCTAACATCAGTATACATATTCTCCAAACTTTTTGTCATACATTTTCTGAGGGGCTGGTAAGGAGAATTCGTTTAACAAACAAGAGCTGCTTTATTTGGTGATAATTCTCTGTATTCTTGTGACCTCAATGTTTGATTCAGGTGTGATATTGTAAGGAGAAATTAGATCCCAGTCACTTTCAGGTTGGGGTATTGGGGTTTTCGGTTTTGCGGTTTTGGCTATTTTTAAGATTGGTTTTTCGGTCTTTGTGCCAGAAAACTTCGGTTTTTACTATTTGGGTCCCGTTTCTCTTCGATCTGAGCGGAAAATATGCGTCTCCACTGATCTCGAATAGCCGCAAAAAGCTCTGTATGCTCCACTTGTCACCACTGCATCGGATCGATCAGCGTTTTGATCACTAGGATGTGGAAATTTAAGGCTGTTTTGCATGCGATTTTCGGTTTTGATCTAATTTTTTTGCGGTTGTGTGTTTTTAGTGATTGCGGTTGCTAATAGACCCCGATGCCTTCCTTCCTCAGCGGTTTAACAGGTTTAAGGGTGTGCATGAATTACGATTCTTGTCAACTTTTAACAATGCCACCCAAATATTTTAATTTCGATCCATTGTCAACTTGTCTCCCAGTCTGACAAGCAAATCAAAAGGTCCGCTTCAGGTTTCATTTATTCTCCTCTTTCGAAGAAGCCAAAATCAAACTCAAAGGAAGCGAAGATAGAAACTTTTGAAGTTGTAGTTGACGCAAACAAAGTATTTTGGAGACTTCAGAGAAAAACAAGGTGCCAAGTAGAAAAAAAAAACACTTCCAAAACTGTTTTGTTTTGTTTTCCATTTCAAACTGTGGTAATGTGGTTTGTTTATGACACCAAATGCTTAGCTCTATTAATTATGAATGCAGACAAAACTTGGTATCTAATACTTTTATTTCAATTGTTTTAATTTGAAAACAAATTTCCCTGAAAACATACTCCACTTATCACATTCTTGTCAGAAACAAACCTAAATAAAACTTCAAGGATTGTCAAATGTCCATATCATTTTACAATTTATCATCTTTCAGGCTCTAGCGCAGCTCCCCAAGCTCCGACCATTTTGGTCGCCATTGCGAGACAACATTTGGCGACTGAAATTTCGACAAAAGTCGCCAATTGGCAACAAACAGAAATAAAACAAAGAGGAGGACATGTTGAAAATTTACCCA